CAACTTGCCCCCTTCTCCTCCCAGGATGCCTGCTTGGCCTCTCCAGTCCCCCACCACAGGACAGCCCAGCGACGCTCTTCCACTGCCCAAGGGCACTTAAACTAGAGCTCAGCGTCGCAATGCAACAGTAAGCCAAGAAAAATAATAATAATTTTTAAAAAAGGAACTTCAAAGTGGGCACTGGGATGATTTTTCCCTCAGTGGGGTTCACTGGGAACAAACTGCAAAATTTGCACAGTGAAAGGGGAGCAGCTTCCCAATGAGCTGGGAGACTGCAGCAACAGTGACCTAAGGATATAAGAGGTGAGGTCTGCAGGAACATGTAATACCTTTTAATAGACCAGCCGGTACAGTTGGGGGGGAAAAAAAAAACAACCGCAACCACACAAGTCCTCCTTTGAGCTGGTGCACCTCTGTGCTTGGCCATTTTTTCCAGCTGCATCACTTGGTCTAATTAAAGACATCACCACTCCCTGCAACCCTTGTCTCTTTCTCTGGCCAGTCCTTCCCAGAACAAGAAATCTAGGTCATTCTGATGCTCTCATTGTGATATTTGACAGCCTGCCGAAATAAAATAAAGATTTTGGCCTTAACATGTGAAGTAGTTAATGGCCTGTGCACAGGGCAAAGAAAGCTTGCTGGCCTTCAAGACTGAGGGCTTGTAAGTTGTCTCTCTGCTACCAGCAGCGCAGATGGGTGTCTGGATGCCTGGTGGTCCCACAAGAGCCTTTGGGCACCTCTGTCAACCAGCAGAGACTGCAGGAGTGAGGAAGCCATGCCAGATCTGAAGCTGGGGCTGGTGGGATGGGATGTGGGACCACTCTTGGGAAAAAACCCAAAAAAATCACCCAGTCATACCCCTGGCCATCAGAGAGGGGATGCCTGGGACCCTGAGAGCAGAAGCACACCACAAACTGCAAAAAGCCTACAGACCCCGTTTGGTGGTAGAGCAGCCCCCCATCTCCACACGGGGCCTGTACCCCACGGAGCGGCCATACCCAGCACCCCTGGGTGCCCCAGCCCCAGCCGGCCGGGCGCAGGAGGAGCTCGGGTCCCGCTCCCACCACGGGACACATTACGCTCCTGCCTGACCTTTACTGGTGGCTTGGAGGAGGTCGCCACGTCCTGATGGCTCCGAGCAGCTGGGACCGAAGCTGCCCGGCAAGGCCAGGCTGGAAGGAAGGAAGGAAGTTATAGCAGGCTTTTAAATAGCGCCATGTAATACCTGAAACTTCTATTTCTGTGCACAGATAATATGGTTTCCATATTCTTCTCCACGCACGGCACGCCAAGCCATTCGCGCTCAAACTGAATTAGCAGCAACCCGCATTCTTCACCAGTTAAACCATTAAAGCTCTGTGAGGCTACTCATAGCCACCATTTAGGATAACCACAAGCTGTACACTTCAACAATGAAGAAACGTATAGATTTCCTTCTGTGTTTGCTTCTTCTGTTTTACCTTTATAATCAAGCAATACCTTTAAATGCACTACAGACTGCAGGGGATCTGTGCAGCCCCCACACCACATCACTGGTGGGCTCCAAGACACCAGTGTAGCCTTCTGCAAGATGTTTTTCATCTGGGGTGGGCACCTCTCCAGGCCTGAGCAGGTATCCAAAGAACCACAGAAGCAGGAGGCTCCTCAGGGATTTCTGAGAGTCATACATGGCTCTACACAGCAGAGCCACATTGGGTTTGCAGTCCTAACGAGAAGGGCTTGGCTGCCATTATCAGAAATACCCTTACACTTAGCAAAAAAACCCAACAAACTCAAATCTCCTTCAAAATAAATATACTTACTTCTCCACATCAATTAACTAGTTAAAAAGAGTTATTTTTCTTTCCTGAGGTTTTCCCATCTCATCTGCCATACAGCAGACCTCTCATTTGGAGTCTACCAGGCAAGAAACAACCTGGACATCTTTGCTGAGAGGTTTCCCCCATGCCTGGTCCACACACCCGAAGGCTCCTGAGCCCGGCTTCACCAGACAGAGAAGGATTTCATGCCCCAACTGATCTCAGTTGTTGGTGATGACAGTGCCAAGGACGGTGCCCATCCACCAAGGAACACAGAAGGGCTGTCACCTCCTCTTAACAGCTGTAAAATAAGGATAACATTCTAGTTTTCCCACCTCCCCAACCGGCTCAAGGCGAGTAACAGGTCCTGCATGTACAAAACAACTCGCTTCTCACAAGCACCCACCGTTTATGTCAATTTGGACACTTGCTCCAGCACATTAGACCAGCACTACTTAACTCATGGTGACACGCGTTGCCAGACCGAGGATTTAACCTATGCTTCATTGAAGGTGACCTCACCACGTCTTACAGCCAGCTCCTAAGTTCCATTAAATCTCTGCACCCCCATCACCCCGCAAGTCCCTTGCACACCACCACTGCCATGTCACCAACATCAACGAGGATACTGTTGGGGCACCTACAAGCATGGAACCACCATTTCCAAGTCAGCAAACAGCAGGAAAACATACCAAGAGGCATCTCAGTCCCCAGCCTGGGAGGGAATCAAGCTCAAATTAGTTAAGCAAACAACAGGATTGAAACAGTAAAGAGTAACTCAAGGTTAGATGATGACACTGCTTTTCAGAAGAACTTGGTGTGATTCCATTGCCAAGCAAGCAACAAATGTCAGACTGCAAAAATCGGTGCTGAATAGCAGCAATTTAAAAAAAACACAGGTGGTTTTATGAAGAAGACAGCATTAACACTGGAGACGAAAAGCTATTTCTTGGTTGCAAACCTCCGCTACCCTTCCCTCCGCCACAACAGGACTGCCCAGCTCAGAAAAGTGCGCGTCCTGTTCTGCAGGACACACGGATACGTCCATCCCATGGGAAAGCCGTACGGAGGGGTGTCCGGCGAGAAAGAGGAACTCAGCTCATCCAGGTTTTGCTATCGGAGTTACAAATGCCCTGGAGAAACAGCTCATTTTTGGAAGAAATGTCAGGGAAAGTGCAGGCAGCTCCACAAACGCACCGAGGGACAGGCAGGAGGCTGGATGCCAAGCTCCGCTCGCAGGAGAAATCCTCGCGCCAAGCAAGGTCAACGGGATTACAGGGGCAAGCAGGGATTGCTCGCACGAGTAGAGATGGGAAGGGTCCAACCCCTGGTTTCCACCCTGGCTTACATCGAGCAAATGCCACCACACAGCCGGCCATGCGTGACTTTGTATCTGGGAAGACTTCAAAACACTGTTTTCCTTCCTAATTCGCCTTTGGCACAGTCAGGAGGGAAATCAACCCCCTCTAATTACCTGACCAACCGAGGGGACATGGCTACCAACACAACCTGACTGACAAACTGCGACGCCCGTAAAAATAATAAAATTAAAAATATATTGCTGACGCCGACTTGCAGCGGGAATCGCAGCAAGCCCGTGCTAAGGCCGGTATGGGAGGCTGCACATTTATCCCAGAGCAGCTGGGTTTAGAGAGCATGCTCCCTCCCCTGCCCCCCCCGGGGGCCTCCCCACCCAAATGGATGAGGTTTGGCCCTTCAGCTGTTTATAAAACCAGCAGTATTGCACCCAGACGCACTCAGCAGCATTCCTCCCTCTCATTCCTGCGAGCTATATAAGGGAACGGCCAATTCCAGCCCCGCTCCCCCCTCGTAGCCAGCCCCGATCCCGAAGCAGCCCCGGGGTTGGTTTCCTGCAGAAGGACTTAAATCCATTCTCGGTTGAACACAGTGTTGCGCTGGACCTTGTCATCAAATGGCAGCACAGGCAGCGAGCTGCCAAGTCCTGCCGGCTCGGGGCTCTAATAGGGAACAGCTGGAGAAGGACCCCACATTTTTCCCGCCCCGTCAACACGGGGGGCTCTGTTCGGGATTCGACACCACCAACCCGTAAGATTTCCACCTACAGCAAAACCCAACCCGCTGCTCCCCGGCACCGTTCCGACACTCACAGCCCAAGAATCAAGAGCTCCCAGATACCCCCCCCCAAAGAAAATTTAAACCAAAGGGATGCTTTTTTTTTTTTTTTTTTTTTTTTTTTTGGAGGGTTTAGGAAAACGCAACTATGGAACTTAAAGACGGATTTTTGCCTTCTCTACTCGTACTCTGTATTTCAGAAACTCTGCTTAAAAAGACTTGCATCCCTGCGCGTCTGCACACACACACACACGCAGGGACATACGTGTTTGTACTGCATACACACCCATAAACAAACACATTAATGCATGGCGCGATCCACACACCGCTTGTGCCGTTTTCACCCTGCTCCAACTCCATTTACTTCTGCAGAGTTAACTTGTAATGGTGTATAAACAAAACCGAAATACACTTTTGTAGCCGGGCACATTTTCTGTAACTCACCCTGTACGTTCTGTAACGTAAAACGCTCTACTCATATTTTCTTAGAGCTCCACTGAAACACAAGGGGGTTATTCAGAGCCGCAGGAAAAAAAATGCGTCCAAACAGGATCTGAATGATGAAATAGGAATTGCCACATTAAAAAAAAATAAATGAATAAAATAGGATAACCCAGCTGCCCAGACCTTTAGAAAATAACAGTTCCTCTGAGGTAGCGATGGGCTGCTTCTGCATGTTGCAGAAAGCAAAGCAAGCCACGTTGTCCAAAAGAAGCCTAGAAAATCCAGACTCTACGTGACCTGACTTACTTATTTCACAGGAAACTGCATGGAAGGAGGAAGGGGGGGGGGTGGAGAGGAGAGGAAAAAAAAAAAAAGAAAACCACCAATCATTCATGCTACCGTAGTTACACCACGCCATAGACTGGAGTAGTTTGCTGTGAAAAATCAAACTGAAATATGCCATCGCCCGTTTGAAAAATAAAATGTACGAAGAGAAGCTGTTAATGCAATCAAGCTGAGGAGCCCTGGCTCGCCAACCTCCCTATTTTCTTGGGTGGTTGTTTTTTTGGGTTAGGGTTTTTGTTTTTAAATTTTGCCTGCATTAGAGCATCGTTCAAGAATGGTTGCAGAAAAAAAAAAAAATTAAAAAAAAAATACACTCACCGGGGTTGTTGGCCTCCCCTTCGAGGATGTGGAGCTCGGTGCAGTCTGCCAGGGAGTGCTCCAGGCAGAGCTGGAGGAAACGAGCTTGGGTCCGGCTGACGCGTTTCAGCAGCGAGAGCAGCGCAACAGTCTGCTCGCACTCGTTCCAGCCCTTGAACCACCCGGCCAACACGCCGACCTGGTCTCGAAACATCATGGTGAGCCGGCGGGCGGAGGAGACACCTCTGCGGGGGGAGAAAATAAATAACCGGGAAAGCCTCCCTGCCCCGACTCTCCTCCCCTATGTCTTGGGTCAGGATTTAAAAAAAAAAAAAAAAAAAATTTAA